TAGTAGTAAGTGGTGGGTAGGGTCGGGGGGGGGGGGGATGGAGGGCAAGGAAACATAGGAACTTGGGGGAAGGGGGGTGAGGAGAGTAGCATAAAAAATTATTTTCCTAAAAAATATTTTCTACTCTCTAACCAAACACTAGAAAATATTTTCCAAGAAAAAGGTTTCACTCACCAACTAACCAAGGAAAAAAAGTGATAAAATCACTCATTTCCATGAAAATATTTTCTATTTTCCATGGAAAACATTTTCCTCCATATCAAACACACCCTACGTATGGCGGGAATGGTTAAAAAGATTCAGAATTTTTATTGATCAAGAGATACCTCAAATAATCTCCCTAACACATTAACACACATAGACTCGTTCAAAAGACCTAACTTGTACCCTTATTCGAAAGAAAACATGTAATTTTCCTCTATTAGGTTCTCCAATAGCCTATTACTTTATTTTTATCTCGTTAATGTGTGTCCAAATCATTTATGGTAGAGTTACCTCTTGAAGAAAATACAAGTCGGACGGTGAAGTGAGCTCCACCGAAACCAAGAACAAGACCAGAGTATAGAATAGAAAGAATGCTAATAAAACAAAAGTAAGTTTAGCCTTTTTTGTGTACAAATATTTCGTGGCCACAATGAGTATAAATTCTTCTATTTATAGCTATATTCAGGGGACAAGATCTTCAATTCAAGTTCTTCTTTAATATGAATAAAGACCCCATTTGATGGCTGCATGGTTGAGTATTAATGTAAAGATTCTTTGTAACGGCCGCTCCTTGAATGCTGTCTTCTCCAACCATTATCTTTCTTTCAAGCTTTCGTCCCCGATTCCAATGTCTTCGGAACTCACGCTACTCGTCGTTACTGCCACGTGTTAACTCGATGAGCATCCACCTGTCGTTTATCAACTTTACTCCATACAATTTTGATCCAGGATTCAAAGACATATTCTGCTTCCAAATTAACATGCACTCCCTCCGTTCGAGTTTATGAAAACCTATTTCCTTTTTGGTCCATTCCAGAAAGAATGACTCCTTTCTAGATTTGGAAACAATTTAGCTTAAACTTACAATTCTACCCTTAATGAGAAGCTTTTATAACCACACAAATACTCTGCCCCCCCC